ACGGTTAAGATAAAGACTGTCCCGTTAGCGGGTTAGAACCCGGTACCTTCAGAGTTCAAAATCGACCTCTTTGCCACTGTGGCATCGCGCTCCACTATGTAGCACAGTACCTATAGCGTTGTTCATGTATTCCATACCGTTAAGGTGGGGGGGGAGGTTGACTATCGGTGCATGAACAGGATTATATGCCATTGGTCTAGCATAAATACTGTCTCTACATGATGCTAAACTAATCACGTCGCAAGGTACAAAAATTCTATTCATCCGTAACGTCGAGAACAGCGGAAAGAGTGCATGACGTAGTCAGTTCTCAAGTGCATGGTAAATCATTAGTCTTTATTACCTGTAACTTTACTATAATGTGGTAGCCCAAGCGTAGATCTAGTCCGTAGAAAGTTTCGTCCTTCAGGAACTGAAAGATTGATATGTGGAGATGACCACGCAATATTATCGTTATCATAAAAAACGATAATTACTTTATCATTGAAGACAATGTACAGCTTGGACAACACCAGAGCCTACCTCGTTCGTCCAACGTCTCTATCTCGGTAATGCCGTACTAACCATTTTGTACTGTTCCTGAATCTTTATGGCTCTCCTTGGTGCGCAACTGCCATGTTCCCCATGTAGCGCTGTCATAGCCGACCAATACCATCCTTCAGCTGAAGATGATAGCCAGAACCTGTCGTAGCTGAGTCATGCTATTGATCAAAACGGTCATAGCTGATTGCATGTACTGGACCCATTTCTGATATTTGAGAGGTGAAAAATGGTAAGGGAAAGTTATTAACCGTTTGGATGCCGATATCGCTTATACTTTCATGATTGGGAGTCCATCTTTCATACTTCATTTCATAAAGCTTATGGTTCAGTCTTGATCACCGTTTCGATGCTATCAGCCAGTGGTACCTAATTTTTACAGGCAGAATGTGCAGCTAGGTGGTAAACGTAACGTGTGATCTCCTGTTGCTTTTCCACCAAGTGGTACTCGTTTATGAGGAAATTAACGTGGTTCGAACTTGGGATCTCTTTGTTCTGGTTCCGACGCTTTACCAACGGAGCGAACAACCCTAATCAGTCCTTGAGCGCGGAAAGAAACAAAGAAACAAATTTCAGCGCGGCTTGTGTGACCTGTTACAGTAAATATGCAGGTCTTTCACGACAAATTATTTAGCGGTTCGTTTATGATTTTACAGCGGTTTACTAAATACCGTGGCATAGACGGGAACGAACGTCTTCTGTACAGTTCTATTCCAGCATGTTAGTCTTTGGAAGACTGAGCAACTATTCCTACTTGTCGGAACAGACTGACACCTGTTGAGAACTACTCAGTCATAAAGCAACTAATACTCGTCCTAGTCAGGCTGATCAATAATTTCCATGAGGAGAATATTTTACGGAACGGAGTTGAAAATTTTGGAATAGTCAGAGAAAATTTCCTCTAGTAAATAGTTGCCGAACAAGTTATGATAATGTTTCGAAGGTATCACAATCAGGAAGATAAATTGTTAATTTCAGCTACAACGGGATAAACGATTATATAATAAATGTGACGTCGTTCTCGCAGTTTTGACAATAACATTCGAGATTCATGCAAACTCCTGGCATAAAACGTTATTTTTATTTATGATTATATTTAATTTAAATAT